TTGATAATCTCCTACCTCTTTTGTCTCTAACGCACTATTATTTGTCTATTTGTTTTCCTGAGAAACTATTTTGTAGATAATAATATGTAAAACGATAACCATTGATAAGTTCCTACCATTTTGTATGTAATATGCTAAGTCCCCCCTATTATTATGTTATCCTTGTTTTGCTCTTTAAAATTAAAAAAAAAAAAAAAAGAAAGAAAGTCAGTACAAGTCTTGGCACACAGCAAGCACTTGATTAATGCCAGCTGAAGGAATAAACATATAAATGAACTGGGATGATTATGTGATAGGCTTTCTGGTCAGACTGTGAGTATATCAAGTACAGGGAATACTGTTACTCATTTTTTTGTCACCTAACAGCTAGCACTGTATCAACACAAAATGAATATGTACTAAATGCTGTTTATTACGCTGTAGACAAGAGATAAATACTTTATTTCAAAAGTGCAAAGAAGGAAAAAAAATTTCTTCTATCATGTGAATTTGCACCAAAGACTTACAAATACATTTGTGAACTCGAGTGGAAAACACAGAAATTTCTACCTTGAGGATATGGAAGGAAACTCAAAAACCATGAAAGCAGGTCACCCTAGTTTTCCAGGGTACTTAAAGCTAAGTAGTCCTAATGCACCAGAATCTAGCCCGCTGGAAGACATGCACAGCGTCAACCCCAGGACAACATAGTCAGGGAGGGCTATGGTCACTCTCTTAGCCATGCGCCCACACCTCTCAGGGAAATCCTGCACGTGGCCCCAGAGAAAAGGGCCTCGGAGGGACAGAAGGAAAGTAGTGGGCATCACTTGAAGCACCAGTGAACGAAGAATGAAACAGAGTCTCAGTGTTGCCGCATCTGTTTCGAGAATGGTACACAGCTCCCTTCGACGGTACATCATGACACTACACCATCAAGGAGGAACACAAGCGCAGGAGGAGGCTGGTTGGCTGCAGTCACATCTTGGGGAAGCTGGCCAGGTTGGCAATGCCACATGCATTATTCTTGTTTCGAGCCAAGAGAACGTAGCCTTTGTTTCCCCAGTTTTCTCCCCAGCTGTAGGGCCAATCAAGAAGAATACTTAGTACCTCAGTCTATTCCTTAAAGCTCTTACTATAATGTGCTAGGTATTAATGACATACAAAATTGAACACGAAGACTTTTACTTTTAAAGTGTTTAAAGTCACCAGGAGGAAAAAAGGTATAATGTTATCATCTCAAAGGCAGAAAAGAGTGCTACTGATCACAAGGATGAAAAAGGGCTGAGGCCCAAAGCTGGCAGAATTTGGGCCTGTGGGAATGGGGTGCTCATAGAGGGGTGTGAGGCTGACAGCAGAGGTGGGAGGGGAGGCTGTGATAAGATCGTGCGGCTGAAAGCAGAGTGCCTGACAAAGTGCAATGGGAGCAAGGTCTGGAAGGCAGAGTGGCACTAGATTAAACTATCTGCACTATAAGCCTGAAGAGTTTGCATTTTGTTGTGGCAGGTGAGGTGGATGAAACTAGGGGAGAGATTCCTAAGGGAGTGAGCTGCTTCTCTGTGCGGCTTATGCATGATGAGTTGGCTCTGTCTTTCTAATCGGGCTGTATGATGGCTAAGTGCAGATACTTGCTCATGTGTTTGTACTGGGGGTTAAGACCTTGCACACAGATCAGTGCCCAACACACCGGAGAACACACACCAAATGCCAGCTTCAGAAGTAAGATTCTGATCGGAAGGTACAACTGAAGAGTCTGAGACAATTTCTCTTGATTTGGGAGAAAGAAAGAAATTCTGGGAAACCAAAGTAATGTCGAGTATCATGGGATAATTACCTGACAAAAGCACTATTCCCTTATTACCTGTTTTTAAGTATCCAGTGCTTCTTTCCCCTCTGGATCCCATATCCCACGGCCAGCAGTGCGTGGTTCAGATCATCACCATTGCAGCTTTCATCGTAATACACGCCTGGAAAACAACTAGGCTGAGGCGCTCTGTAATCCCAGAGCTGCCCTATGGGCCTCCCGGTCTAGGAGACACAGAATGAGGTCCCAGCTTGGTGGGCTGACCACACAGATGATCTGCACTGCGGCTGCTGTCGGTTTCTCTCTGGCAGGCTGAGTTTAAATATGAAACCTGGGTACTGCACTGAGAACGCTTGGGCCCTACGGAACAGAGCACGCTCTGCAGGGACTCCTTACCCTTGCTGTAGAACTGGAAGGAGGTCAGGCTTGCATCGATGGCCACGGAGACAGGTCCCACACGGGCCACCGCTCTCTTCAGTGCCTTCTCGTTGCCCACAGGGATCTCTCTGTATCCTCGGCATTTGGCTGCCTTGCCTGTTGGGTTGTACATACAGCTTTCGTCCTGGAAGAAATGAGGAAATGAGATTGTAACAGGACTAGAACAAAGCAATGAACAATGAGTTAGTTGATCAATGAGAAACTCCACCAAAGTTTTGAGTAGGAGCAGTGAAGTAACAGTTGTTCCTCTTCACCACTTTAGGAAATTATGAAAAGAACATGAAAGGGGATTCCCACCTTCTCCCTCCCACACACAAACATCAACTTCCAATGGTTTCAAGATATAAATATAGAAGGAAAACTAAAACATTTAAAGAAGAGATACTGTTTTTATTTTATTTTTGTCTGTTTGAGACAGGATCTCACTATGCAGCCCAGGCTGGCCTCAAACCCACAACAATCCTCCTGTCTCAGCCTTTCAAGTGCTGGGATTACAGGTGTGCACCACCACACCCAGCTCTAGAGGTACTGCTTTTACTACTTCAAGGTAAAAAAAGATTTCTCAAATAAGATTTTTGTAAAAGGCACAAATAATAGGCAGGCATGGTGGGCCACAACTATAATCTCAGCATTCTGGGAGGCTGAGGCAGGAGGGTCACATGTTTAAGCTCAGCTTGGGCAACTTAGCAAGACCCTGTTTCAAAATAAAAAACAAAAACAAGGCCAAGACTGTAGATCAGTATGAAGGCCCTGGGTTCAATCCCCAGGACACACCCACACACATAAATAAGACACAAGTCATGTTCTGGCCTTCTAGCATATGTGAGCCTCAGAGGGCAGGGAGGTACTAGCTGCAGTGCTGGGAAAAGGCCAAGGCCAGAGCCCACTAGAGGGAGGAAATGGGCTTTTGCCTCTGCATCAGGGATGCGAGTGTGAGGCAGTTTTGCTGGATTATATTCTCATCAGACACAGAAATAAAAGCATATAACATGACACAAAAGTAGCTTCATGATGAGGCAGTTTGTGATCTTCCAACTCCATGTTTTGCAAGTCTAGTTAGCAATACGTTTTGCCAATAGGCCACAATTATTTGGCAACTCACCATAGATGATCCCTTCAAAACCTTAAGGTTATACCTATAAGAAGAACACACTACCTCAATTTTAACAGTAATGGCAGCATTTGACATGATATTCTAATATTATAATACTTATAATATTAGGGGATGTAGCTCAGTGGTAGAGCATTTGCCTAAGATTGTAGTAGTCTATTACCTTATAATTTCTCAAGATCCCTTTGCTCTCTGCTATCTAAGCCAAACCTCTGCTGCCTTCTGCTGATAAAATTGTACAGGAGCTGAGTGTGGTGGCTCACAGTTGTAATCCCAGCATTTGGAGGCTGAAGCAGAAGACCGCCATGAGTTCAAGAACAGCATGGGCTACAGAGTTCAAGGTCAGCTTGAGCTACATAGCAAGACCTCATCTCAAAAAATCCAAAAAGCAAGCAAACAAGAAAAACAGGCAACAGGCTCTTTGGGCTCCATGTGCACATTCATAGTCACAGCTACTGGAGAGACTGAATCAGGAGGATTACAAATTCAAAGCCTGCCTGGGTAGTTTAGTGAGATCTTGCCTCAAAATTCTTACACACACAGGTGGAAGTATAAATTTTTCCGAATTTTTTAGTAAACAGCTAAAGTGAACATTATATAGTAAAGTTTTATATACATATATCCTAAGAGCCAATTTTGTTCTAAGGTATATTTTAGTACAAAATTCTTACACATATGCCTAGGAAATCTGTGTCAAATAAAAAGACTCTTTCCTATCTGTGCCATATATCAGGGGTACAAATTGGAGCGTGTTCTTTTACCTCCTTAAATTTTAATTTCTTTCCTATAAAGTGAAGTCAAGTCTACTTTACAATGCTATTACGAGAATTAAAAATAAATGTGCCAGCCAGGAATAGAGCTCAGTAGCACAGTGCCTGCCTGGCAAGCATGAGGTCCTGAGTTCGATTCCCAGTGTAAAAACAAATAAATAAATAAATAAATGCACCAACTACATGGCTTAGTAGATGGCGGTCATCAATTTTTATCACCCAGACTTGCAACCCCTACTCCAAAGGCTCCCATCACAGAGGCTCATATTATATTACCCATCAGCCCTATGTATATTCAAAAATCCTCACATTGCCTCCTTTTAGAAAAGAAGATCCTGTTACTAAAGATTCATGGAGAAAGTGAGCTAATCCATTACCTCTAAAATTATACTAAATATGAAATAACTTTTTTCTCTTGTTTTATACATGTTAGCATTTTAACTTACATAATCTGATTAAATGTTCCCCAAATTCCACTGAATGTTCCCCAATTTCCACTAAAGCCACATCACCAGGCATGGTGGCGCATACCTATAATCCCAGCACTCAGGAGGCTGAGGCAGGAGGATTACCTCGAGTTGGAGGCCAGCCTGGGCTATACAGTGAGTTTAAGGCCAGCCTGAAATATGTAGCGAGACCCTGTCTGGAAAGAAAAGAAAAAAAAGAAAGGAAGGAAGGAAGGAAGGAAGGAAGGAAGGAAGGAAGAAAGAAAGAAAGAAAGAAAGAAAGAAAGAAAGAAAGA